TATATATATATATATATATATCCTCTCCTCCGTCTACACAGTATTCCCCACGAGCTAGCTCTGTCATATCAAGGCTAAATAAGTCCTGGTCTCGATTGGTATCTATATATATATATATATATATCCTCTCCTCCGTCTACACAGTATTCCCCACGAGCTAGCTCTGTCATATCAAGGCTAAATAAGTCCTGGTCTCGATTGGTATCAAAGCCAAGTTAGCCAGTGGCGGAGTCGGCATGCGGTGGTGAAACCAGTAAACCCCGCTCTCGCCGGTGTATATCCCCATGAGAAACAACTCACTCCTTGATACTAATGCTCATTCTACAATAAAACAATTGTAGATATTTGTAGTAAAAAACTACTATAATTCTTAATAGCTTTAATTTGAAGCACTTGTTTTATTTCTTATTTCCGAGCTTTAATTCTAAGCATTTTATTATTTAGCCTCATTGTTTACTTTGAATGATAACTCTCTTACATTTCTAGTATGATCTAGAACCTCTAGCACTTGTAGTACTCTTTGTTAGTTCTCTCTTTACTTACTGTAGTCGCAACTTACATAGCTTTGTTCTGTGCTCATCCAGTGTTGTTGACTGGTGAGGATTTTACGAACTTTTTAGAGTTACTTCTATCTGCTTAATATCTAGCTTGTTTACTTTGCTATCTTCTTTAAGTCTTTATTTCCTTAACTAGTTGTCGCAGTTTACACGGTTTTCACCCGTTAGCTGAGTGCGCCTAGGGTTCCTTTGTCCGTGTTCATCCATTGCTGTTGACAGATTAAGTCTTAAAGTCTTTCTAAAGATGTCTAAGTTTCTAAGTTACCATTGGGAAAAAACCATGACGGATTTTAAGTTAAAAAGCATAAATGCTATTGAAAATTTCAAAAATGAATTACCTTTTGAAATCGATAAAGAATTCCTGAGGAAGGACTTCAATTCTCTAAAAATAGAGATAAAAAGGAAGGATTTTTTCAAACATATGAAAAAGATTTTAAATCATCTATTAGAACCTTATATTACGACTTCATGCAAACCATCAAGCAAAATGTACCTTTTTTCTTATGGTATGAAGCTCTATACTTAGAAGATCTAAAACACTCTCTTAAACATCTACCTATTGAAAATAATGCGTTTGTTTTGAAAACAATATCCAATACATGGATAATAGATAAAGATAAAGATATAGAATCTTTACATCCACCCTTTGAACCAATAAAGGTAGGAAATAAAGATGTTAAAGCTGTCCCTATCACATCTTTGGAACCTTCTAACTGGATACCCTTGCAAGGGGATATTACCCTTGTGACTGAACAAAATAATTTTGTCAATATTCACCTTCAGACGATAGGTAAACAAACAGATAGAATTGAAAATATGATTCTTGACATAAAGAAACCTCTTACTCGTCCTATGGTCATGCCACCTTTTCCACCTCAGAATTTCACTAATACCAAATTAGGAACTAATAAACCTTTTGATGAACAAATAAAGGATTTTAATGAAGAATCAACTAAGAGATTAAAAGATATAGCAAAAGGAAAATCTCTTGATATCAATGTCCTATATGACCTTGAATCTCAATTCAATGATATGACCAAATCAGATCATGATTTTGACAAACCCCTAACAATTCAGAGTATTAAAAAACATCCATATTCTTCAAATAATACAAAGAATTACTATAGGAGACTCACTCCTGCCGATATGCAATTTGAATAATTTAATAGCCAAAAAATAAGTTTCGATGGTAATTCTCTAGTAGAATGGAACCTTGATGGTTATACTGAATATCAAATAATACATCTGTTATAAGAAATGCTTATATATGCCAATGCATGTAGACAACAAGGTAATCTTGAAAAAGATATTGCTAGTGGCCTATGTTCATCCTTTTCTGGTCAATTACAGGGGTGGTAGGATCGGTACCTTACTGATTCACAAAAACATAACATTTTAAATAGTTATAAAAAACCCAATATGGAGAACCA